GTGGCACGTTGGTTAAGAGCTGGCTTGAGATGCCAGCTCTGAGCAGCAGGGCCCCAATTCAGATTCCACATGAGGGCCAGTGACGCTGCCCTCTACAGCTAAGATGGTGAACAACAGCTCGACCTGGAGCTGGGCTGCCAAGAGTCGCTGGTGGCAGCATAGGCTGCAGTGGGCTGCCATAAGCTACCATGAGTGGCCAGCAGCCAGCGTGAGTGGCCGGCAGCCAGCATGAGCTGCCAAGAGCCGCCGTAAGTGGCCATCCAGTGGCCGGCGACCAATCTGTCTCACCTGGGAAGAGCGCAATGATGGTGCCAACATGGGCCAGTGAAGCAACATCCTCCACAAACTAGACTGAAGAACCAAAGGACAGCAACTTGTCTGTTTCCCCTTCCCTGATTCCCCAATAAAATCTTTAAAAATAAAAATAAAAAAAAAGAAAGAAAGGGCAGGGTTAATAAAGTATGGATGGACCAAAGAGGGGGATCTCTCATCACCCCAGGTCTCCATCCCTGACACTCAGAGAACACAAGGCCCCAGGACTGTCCTGTTAGATAAGAAGTGATCACTGGGGATCAGAATTTGGGTCATGCCATCAGAGACAGAGATCAATTCACCTAAGAAACAAGAACAACATTGACTGGGGCAAGTGACACCATTCGTGACGTAATTGCCGCGAAGTCACTGACAGGCTTGGCCCTGCCATGTCTGCCTAGGGATGCAGCTGAGACTGAACTGCAGAGCACAGGGCTCTGGCTCCACATGTTCTTCTCGGGAGTGACAGAAATGCCCGCCACACCCCAAGAATGAATGTGCCAACTGTTCCACACAGGCTGCCCTGGACTCCTACAGGCACCACGTTTGAATTACAAAATCCCAAAAGAAGTTCAAAAGTCTGTTTTCAAATCACCAAAACAAGGTTGGGGGAGGGGAGATACCATTTGAAAGTTGTGCTGTTTGAGGACTAGTCAGCAACCAACCTCATGTCAGGCACCTGACATGCAGCACCTCATTCACCCTTCACCTGGCTGGACAGGGAATGATACCCCGCTCTAAAAGGAGTTTGTGTCTCTAGGGCTCAGGCCACACAGCCAGGATGTGGAAAAGCCAAGCCAGCTGGCTGCAAAGCCCACGTTCCTAATCACTCAACTTTCGACCTGCCATTCAGAAGAAGCATTTCCAGGGGGCCAAGAAATGTCCACTTAAGCATTTGGATGTCTTGGAATTCATAATGCAAAGATGAAAGCGCCTTGGGGAAACCAAAAAAGACTGACCCAGAGACTATCCAGATCAGAGACTGACATTTTTTGGCAAAGGAGCAGACAGTAAACATTTCAGGCTTTGCAGTCTCCGTGACAACTACTCAGCTCTGCCATTATAGCACAAAAGCAGCCACAGACAACACATAAACAAAGGGGCGTGCTGGGTTCCAAGGCACTTCCCATATAAAACAGGAGGCCACAGTTTGGGGACCATGCCTTAGGCCATGGGAGTCCTGGGAAATTGTGAAGTCAACAAGGGACGTGATCAGATGAGTATTTTCAAATGAACTATGCTCACTGCCAAAAAATGGAGTCAGCATGTTTTAGATGTTATGTGAAACGAATACCGGTATTATCATGGTTCTCTGTTATCACAGTTGTTATAAATAAGTAGGAGTGGCTGTGTTTCATTAAAACTGTTTTTTGCACAAACAGGCAGAGGTCTGAATTTGAGCCACAGGTCATGGTGTGCTGAACCCTGCTGCTCTAGGATCTCAAGTCAGGGATTCTAATAGATCAGTAATAATCTGAAATCAGCTACTAGGGTTCTTCAAATACCTATCACAGTGTAAAGGCCCATTTATAGCTTACTATGAGACTCTGATTATACCAATGTGGGGGAAAGAAAAGGAAGGGACGTTTTTCTTTGTTTATTAACAGGATTCATTCAAACCAGACATAGATCCCAGCCATAGGTCAAATCTTCACTCTTTCAATGCAAACATCTATGCATTCAATTCAATGCAGTGCTCTGTACATGGGCAGCATTTGTGGCAGAAAAAGAGTAGAAACCGATGACTCATGCATCCTCTTCCTTGCCCCACCAACTCTGCTAAACCACTGAACCATCTTTCAGTTTCTGCATCCCCCTCTGACATCTGACATCAACCTCCAGAACTGCCTGCCTAATGATATGCCTAAGCTTGGTACTGATGGATTACGGCGAAGCAACGTCGCCAGAATGGCTCTCCAGCTCTCCAGGCCTTGTCGTGCACTATACCATCTCGTTCGGTCCCAGTTGTTGACGCCAAGAACTAGGACCCAGGGGGAAAGATGGACTATCACGTTTTACATAACAAAAAAGTTATCTGCTTGAGAACTTTCAGAAGATGATGTTATTAGATAATGTCTGCTGTTACCACGCTTAATGCAGTGATTCTCCAAATGGCCCCCTATACCTGGAGACATTTTTGATTGTCACAGCTAGGGAGGTGCTACTGGTATCCAGCGGGCAGAGACACCAGAGATGCTGCTGAACATCCTACAACGCACAAATAGTCCCCCCAAAAAAAGAATGATCTGGCCAAAAATACCAATGATCCCCAGATGACAAACCCGGCATTAATAGGATTTCACTGCATGATGATCCCAATGCCTCAAGCACACATGTGCAGTCCAATTAAATTCCAGAAACTCTGCTCCAAAGACCATTTTGCTTGACATGTCAAGTTGATTAGAGAAAAATAGCGGTGTGAGTTAGACTTGCTGATGACGCCTGTGTAGTTGTTTCTTGGTTGTTTTAAGAAAAAGAATTACTTTGCTAAGGGTCATCTATAAAGGGAAGAAGAAGAAGAAGGAATAGTTTCGGTAGTTTCTTTGAGCTCCAAAGTCCTATGATTTTAAGCATATACGGTGGCTGAAATTCAAAGACTAGTCTAGGGGTGTACAGTATATTTTCCTAAAATAATATAACATCTCTGTCAGGCTACAAGGCTAAGACCAGATCACTGTCCTTTAGAATATGGAAGAAGCCTACCCTAGGAGATGTTTACCAGTACACAAGAAATAAAAACAGTCAAAACTACAGAAACTGCAAGTCTATAATTTTACCATTCACATGGTTTCTTCTTCTCACGGAAAACGTCTGATAGACTGAGATCAACAGAAGGAGGAAATTACTACTCCTCTTTACCCCTAAGTATGTGACATGGAGTGCAATGAACCAGAAACTTGAAAACAGCACCTGGTTTATTTGTTACACTTACTACTATAGATGGGTAATACCAATGGTGATAATTTACTTTATTTTTTTTTTCTGGCGGTTCACTGACAACATTCTGGAAATATTAAAGAAGATCAAAGTCAATTCAAAAATGCACCCTCAAGAAAATGACCTAGTTGTTTTGCAACATAGGCTTTCAAAATGGAGTCTCCTTTTATTAATCCAGCAGATCAAAAAAGGTGGCATTTTATTTAAATATCAAAAGGGAATGCCTACAGATGCTGCCAAATCTTTAAGGAATAATTAAAAGCAGATAGTGTGATCATTCAAATAGCAGGCACTGAAAAAGAATTTCCACATTGTACATTGAAAGCAACCATTTTCTCCTTACCAAAAAACAAACAAACAAACCCATAAATTAAAAAGTAACCAAGTTTCCTGGATCCTTCCAAAAAGAAAAACCACATATATGTAAAATTGAGTATGATTTCCTGTGTTTGACCTCAACCTTCAATCTGTTGCTGCACATTTTCAGGAATCATCATTTGAACTCCCATATTTCAGGGTACACTCCTCAGTTGAGTCCCAAGATGGAACACCAACTGTTTCCTCCTCACCCTATCCCATTCTTGTATCTCATTTATAACATACGTCAAGGTCCCAAACCCTGAGGCTACTGAAGTCTCCATTCAAAGACCAGGTTTGTCACTGAACAACAAACAGGTCGTTCCACAGATCAAGTCCATTCCCATATTCAGTGAGCACAGGAGACCTGGGAAGTGCACAAAACCCAGTATGATCCCAATTTCATTTACAATTTTTTGTTTTGTATTTATGTATATGTTTTTGTAAGTACTTTGTATCTATACATATATCTGTATCTTTCTCTCTCTCTCTCTCTCTCTTTCTCTCTCTCTCCATATATACACACACACACACACACACACACACACACACACACACACATATATTTCTGTGCTCTATAAAACATCAGAAAGATATACACTGAAATGTTAATTGTGGTTATTTCCTAGAGTAGTAGATTTATATGTGATTTTATTTTTCTTCCTATCTTTTTTGCTTGTCTGCAGCTTCCAACTTTTTCTATATTAAGCGTAACTTTTGCCTAAAGAAAAATAATATTCCATAGGTATACTTTTTTTTTTTAACTCAACCTCATTTCAAAAAGGATTTAAGACACCTGACAAAAAAGCAATGAGTAGGAAAACATTTCTTTCAAAGAGAGGGCACTTAAGAGACAAGGGCAAGAAACAAGGGCAGTAAGCTCTGAAGAAGCCAAAGTTTACAGCGATTAGCCAGCGCATAGCCCTAACGCCCTGCATACTGGCTGGACGGAGGAGGCATGCATTTGTCTCTGAGTTTCTGGGCGTGCACAGAACATTCCTCCCCAGCCTCTTTACCTCCATCCACCAGTCCTAATTAAGTGTTGTTTAGGGAAAGATAATGAGAATATTTTTGTACATTTCCTGATCCTACTCCCAGATGAGATCATGCAATCCAGAAACATGCTGAGGGAGGAGGGGCCAGCTGCAACTACAAGCCATAGTGTGCTAGCTGTTCCGCCCAATGGCTAAGTATCAGTGTGCACAAGAGCTGAGAACCTCCCAAAGGGCACTGCTTTAACCTTCTGCTAGTGTCCCTTTGTGTGTAATTCACTGCCCTGAAGGCAGTGGTGAGGGATACACTCAATCCACTACAAGACCAAGCCCCAGAGCCTCAGGGGTCCCTTTGAGGCAAAGCCACACTCAATCGAGAGGTCCCATAATCACAGCACTTACCATACGCTGTCATGACACCGGCATATGGCCCATCCACCACATTCCTGTTTTCTTCTGCCAGGGCCTTGATGTACCTCTTGCTGAGGTCCAGGATCTGCTCGCGCAGCATGGAGCTGCTCTCAGGCTGAGTTCGCTGCTGGATGGTAAAATGCAAGAGCATCATACCCCAAATGAAGCCAAAAGTCACAAGGAAAAAGCCCAGCTTCTGCGAGGACAACTTCCACGGAGTAAAGAAAGCCATTGCCCTCCGGCAACTTCACCTGCCGTTGGCTGTTAAAGTGTAGCCGGGGGACACAAGTTCATGGTGGGTTCGTCCGTCTCACTCTGGCTCCTGTGTCAGCCGATTTTCTTTCCTCGCTTCCATTGTGCTGTGAAAGAGGAGGAAAGTTAGCACAGTGGTCAGGGCAAAACACAGTAAAATAAACCAGAAGCCCTGTTGTCACTCCAGTAGCTCTCAAATGTGAACTTGGTGTTTTTCTTAATTTACTGGTTCAATATCTTCTATTATGATTCGGGTTCTGTAAGCTAAGACGGGGAATCTGGCGAGGCGACAGAGCTGTACAACTACGGAGGAGGAAGTGTGTGTCTGAGTGTGTTAACAGGTGTAGCAGGGCTGCTCCAGTCTGGACCCCGTTCAAAACAGGAAGTTTGTTTTGCAAGGTGGGGAGGAGATAGAAGGATATTTCACTGAATGTCAGCAGAAACCCAAGTGGAGGGTGGAGTCATATCACCACTGGGCACTTTTGTGTATCTGTAATGTGAGCTTACAAAGTCATTATTATGTGCTCTGGCAAGGGTTAGAGCATGCAGCTGGAGAGGTGAGCAAGAAAGTGGATGCCCCCTCGGGGTAATCAGACAAGGAAAGGGGAGAGAGCCTCCACATTACTTAAGCATGGCCAGCTTTCATTGGCAGTGTCCAGAGATGAGCCGAGTCTCTCGGGGCCAGCAGGTGGCCTCTCCCAGGCTCCGCAGAAGAGAGGCTATACCAGGGGTACCCAGCGGCCTTTCTGTTCTAGTTACCATGAGTGAAAGCTGAACCTCGCTTCTCACTTGCACGCTTCAGCACAGGAAATGTGGAGCACATGACGGCCTGCTGTTCTGTGACTCTCTATTTCACTCACACCATGAAGCAAAACAAGGCTAAAAGGGATAGTTTCCTCTGCCTATCACATCGTAAGGTATACAAGTGTTAACTCACTATGTTGTACACAGGAACCAAATATAATATACTTTCAATTTTTTCAAAAAGGTATAGTTTCAATACTAATATAATCAAAACTTATCTGGTAGCTACATAGGCTGGGTAAAGGTCCTAAATCAAGGCTTCCCAGCAAATGGGGCTGAAATGTAGGTTGCAAGTGAGTTACAGGTAGGCCACGATACCCACCCCTTCGGCCAGAGGCCTGGGCCCAAGAACCAGCCAGCTTACAAATGACACCATTTTCTAAGTGTGACAAGGGAAAGGCTGAGCAAGGATCTCCTACGGAGGACTGACCCAGGATATATTCAGAGTGTGCATAAGTTTCAGTTCAAAGGATTCTTCATCTTAAATAGCTTAAGAGGAAATGATAACAGGATCTTGTAACTAGCAGCTTCAGAGTCTGTAATGCAGCACATCTGGATTGGCCCTCCCACCTCACTGCCATTCCCTGGCCTGTCAACAAAGTCATCAGTAGTCGGGGGTACTAATACTAACACTAAATGATAAACTCTAGATAGGCCCCAGGCATTGTGATAAATGTTTTTTGTGTCTTGGCTCACTGAACTCTTTTAAGAGTCCTATATGGTGATTTCACTTATATGTGGAATCTAAAAACTGAAAGAACGAGCAAAATAAACAGAAATGGTCTCAGAGATATAGAGGAACAACTGATGGCTGCTAGTTGGGAGGGGGCGGGGATGAGAGAGAAAGGGAAGGGGTTAGACAGCATAAATAGGT